TATAAAAGAAATACTTAAGCTTAGGGTTTTTACCTAGGTATATATTTTAATTATATAATTAATAAGTTTTATATTAGCGTAAAGCCCTTTTATTAGCCTTTATAATCTGTTGGGCCTTTTCCGTGTAACACGTGGAGCTTGTGGCGCCTTGGTGTGGCCGAGAGCTGAATAGCAGTTCGCAGCTGAGCTCCAATAACATCAGCCTAGAAAAGTTTCAAACGAATCAACATAGAGATAATACATTTGACAGGAACGCCCTGGCAATATGGTTTCTCAGCCTGGGTTGGGCAATCTGGGACTAACAGGTCGTCTTGACACTGCGCAGCGGCAGTAGCAACTGCATTCTATATATATCTGTTTCTTTTTCACTTAGCGTACCGCTCCGAGACATCTGCTACAGACGTATCAGTTTTAGAATATCGAATTATGCGATAAGATACACTGAGCTGCTTTTCTTGCGCCCCCCCCTAACAGCATGACAACCTCGTAAATACACAAATTGTTCTGAAACACCGCGGGTCACACACCTCTTTCCGTCGATTGCGTCGTGTTGCCGGAAAGTTCCGTTTCTCAGTGGAAGATACAGCTTGTTTGTGTGGCGTCAAGGTGTGATCCAGCAGGGGCGCGTTGTCTCGAACTACTCGATTGCCAGTGAATAAAAGAGGGTGCTCACCCCCTCTGGAGATTTTCATCATTTATCAATCCATCCTACTCCTTAGACATTTAAATCAGTCACACGGCTATTTATATATCCACTACAAAGAGATGGCACTGCAATCTATGGCCCCAGACAATGATATTCCGTTGCCTAGGATACGGAAGGATGGGATAACAATACTATTTGACAATACTTCGACAGAAGCTTCCAACATCGAGTTTGTTTTTCGATTTCAATTAAGACTTCAATTTCCCAGCTAATTCTTCAGTAGTATTGTGTTCATTCATGGCCTCAATGGCCATCCCAAGGACACATGGAGCCACAACGTGACGGGCTTCTTCTGGCCGTGGGAACTTCGGAAGGAGCTCGAAACTGTTAGGGTCATGACATTTGGGTACGATGCAAGCTTTGACAATGTTACAAAAAACTTTATACGAATAAAAGACATCGCTGCCGCATTCACCGATAGTCTCGTGAACAAGCGAAGAACTACAGAGGTTCGTACTGCTCTGTTTGTCAATACAATTCTTATTTTAACTGGGCGATACAGGAGAAGAATAGGCCAATCGTTTTCATTGCTCACAGTCTTGGAGGACTAGTGGCTAAGGCTGTAGGGAACTCCTTTTATGACCAAATTGAGATGAAGCCATGCTAAATGATTTTAGGCGACCGTGCTTGCGTCAGAAGCCCAAGCATCCAGGGCCAATGATCTTGACAAAGTCTATCCATGTATTGGAGCTTTCATGTTCTTTGGCACGCCTCACGGAGGGAGCAAGGTTCTGGGTACAACAGGAGCGTGGATCCTTCAGAAGATGGCAAGGGCGGCATTTAGACAGATTCCTCCTAAGCTAGAAAGAGCTCTTGAACAGAACTCGGACGAGCTGCTCGACCTTGCCGATAGCTTCCGCAAGGTAAGCCTCTACGTCGACTCGCAGCTTCTCATTTCGACCTACTTTGAGCAGAAAGCGACGGTATTTTTAAACGAAAGGGTAGGTGAAATGCAATTTTGGGCTAACCACTCCCCAATTCCTATTCCGCCATATATTTGCATCTAAGGTTAGCCCCGAGTCCCATAATGATACTAAACCCCGATTAAGATAGTTGATCCTGCTTCTGCGTCCATACAATACGCCCGGGCCGACGATGCAAGACCTATCAATGCAGATCACGTTGGTATGGTCAAATTTGAGAATAACGAGGATGGGAATTATGAGGATGTCCTTGGCCGCCTTCAACGCTGGGTGGAAAAATTGACCATAGAAGGTATTAATAGATGATTGATTGAACCTACTTTTCTTGCCAAGATCTCAATATACGCCAGTGGCGTCGCTCAGTTGAATTCAAGTGGGCAATCGAGATATCATTTGCTGGCCATGAATGGATTGTGTATATGCTGATTAGTCGTGTAGGCCATCCGGTAGTGGCAGGGAAAGCAGAAGGTATGCAGGAGCAGCAATTTTACTTGGAAGCGTCTAATAGAGCTGGCAGAGTGCATGCGAGCCATGTACGAGATAGCTGGCAACTACGAAAACCAGCGAGCGCAAATTGACACGCCTATTCCAGAGACTTGTCAATGGATTCTTTCACATTGCAAATACGAGGCGTGGATATCTGCCGAACAATCTGCTCTCTTGTGGGTGACGGCTGATGCAGGTTGTGGCAAGTCGGTGTTGGCAGGTTTCCTCAGCGACACTCTCGAGGAGACACATCCCTCCTTGATATGTCCCTTCTTCTTCAAATCTGGCTTGAATCAAAGAAATGATTTGCGTCACGCGCTCTGTGCCTTGCTTCATAGGATCCTCTCCAATCGACTGGCGTTGGTTCGATGCCTTATACAAGATTTTCGCCAAAAGGGACCTGCATTCCTCAGTGATGTGAGGCGTTTATGGGACATTGTATGTACCATGACTCTCCAAAGAGACTGTCCACCTATATTATGGATTCTTGATGCCATTGACGAATGCACCAAATCGGCGAGGGATCAATTAATACAATTTCTTGCGTCAACCTTTTCGCAACAGCGATTTGCTGGATCGTTCAAAGTGCTTGTGACTAGCCGACCCTATTATGAGATCCAGGCTCTATTCACGGATAAAACTATTCGCCTTCGAGGAGAGGACGAGGCATCATCTGTCTCTCTTGACGTCGAAAGACTAATTCACTTCAGAATTGAGGAGATGAAGGACGAGGGTTTTTTGAGCCCGAACATCTACAAGCAAGTGCTAGCACATTTGATACAACGCGCTGACCGCACGTTTCTTTGGGCTACACTTGTTTTCGAGTCCCTCCGAAACTTGTCGTCTCGCTCTGAGTCCGAAGTGCTCAGGGCTGTCCAGAGGCTGCCTCCAACCCTCGATAAATTCTACGAGGATGCGCTTGAAAGCTCGAGAGACAGGGATGCATGCAAGCGGCTTCTCCAAATTATTTTGGTAGCAACCAGACCGCTGTCTCTAGACGAAGTCAACATTGCACTCAACATTAAAGAAGACAAATTTCGTGTCAGAGACCTGTGCGCAGAGCTTGAACCCGATATTGAGTTCCGGGTAAAGAACCTCGCTGGCTATTTCATACGCATTGTCAATTCAAGGGTATTCTTTATCCATGAAACGGCCAGAGACTTTCTCCTACGGACAGATGTGACCAATATCTCATACTCGTGGAAAGGCTCCTTGACGCTGCCCGGAAGTAACCTCACTCTGGCCAAGATCTGCATCTCCTTCCTAATTCAGGATGAGTGGTCACTTCCATCAAGTGTACGGGGCGCTATGATTCCGTCGATACAATTCGCAGCCAAGTTCTTGGAGGTACCAAAAGCCTTCGGCGTTCCTTTCATGACCTTTTTCGAATATTCTGCTCACAACTGGTTTGTCCATCTAGAAGAAGGAGACCTGGCCATGGAGCCCATCACCTACCCGATATTATTTAGGCTGTATAATCCAAAATTCCTAGGAGTTTGGTGGAGCTTTTACGCTGATCGCGGGTTTTACGCAGCCGCTGTTAATCAAAAGCACTACTATTTGCATCATATAGTAGCTAGAGGCCACTTCTCCGTTCTTAGGAGCATTGAGAAGTTACCATTCTTTAATATCTATGAAGATTCAAGGGGGCAAGGCGTTTTGGAGATTGCCGCAATAAAAGGCCATGAGAAAATTGTCCGATGGCTTCTCAGCAACCATGACAGAGCTAAATTACATTGCACCGAGGCTCTAGTGCTAGCCACCAAGTATCGGAACGTTCCAATCATGAAAACGTTACTCGAAGCAGGTCTGAACAGCAATGAGTGTCAGATTATCTCGTCAATTGGAAGGGCTGTTCTTCCTCCCCCGACTGAGGCGGAAGGCTCATGGGCGCAGGTTTTGACAACACTGCGTAATGCTAAAGGGATCGAACCAGAAGATTTCCTTTCCGCTGCCACGTACTTACCATTTTCGCATTTAAAAGATCTGTTTCAAGAGTTGAAGAATATGCACCTTTTCTTCCGCTGGATGCTTCTCAATAACTTTCGACTCTGGATCATCACCTTTCTAATGCATAGGCACGACCCGAGAAAATACATACTACAAGATGCTCTAAGGGCGTTGAAAGATGGGCATCATGATGCCATGTTTCATCTCCTAGAAACGATGCGAAAAGATATAAGGTGGATATCCGAGCGTCGGAGGTTGAATATTGTTTTCATTCCAGAAGGAAAGCACCTTTGGTCAGACTTTTTCTCGACCTCACAACATACACTCGAAATGGGAATCTTGGAGCTCTTCCACCCTGTCACAACGCATGACCAAAACCCTTGGGATTTAAGTGGAAAGAAGAGCCTTAAATATCCAGAGCAGATGCCTCAAAATCCGGAACTAAACTGGGAACTTTTTTCACGACCGGAGACTGTATTTGAATATCTAGATGACCTGGAGCCTCGCAGGCAAGATATTTTCCTCCTAGTGCTACAAACACTAGCAACAATGAAGCCTAAATCATACGAAATGACCCTCATATACGCTATTTTGGTTCATGAAGGGTTGGCCATTTTCATGTTCGAAAATAGCCAGAAACTTGGTGGAGAATTCAGGGTGCAGTTAGTCGCTCCTCTTGTGTGTCTCACTCGACGGACATACTTACTTCAGCTAATGTGCCGGACTGGCCTTGATGTCAACCAGAATGACTCCTTCGGAATCTCACCTCTGCTTGCGGCTGTAGCGTCAGGGGATGAAGACATTATACAATACTTGATTACATTGCGAGCGAGGCCAGATGAGCCTTGCCATGCACATTTCCAAGAAGACGAATATGGGATGTCTAATTCCAGTATCAGATTCTTGCGAGTTATTTGGCAAAGGGTGTTCCTTCCCAGCGACCCTGTGCCATTACTACCTATAGGTCTTGCAGCACGCAGCCGGCAAAAGAATATAGTAAAGCTGCTCATGGCAAATGGAGCGAGCCCGTGGCAGGAGGCTTTGCTATCCTACAAACCCTTCAAAGGAAAGGCCAGCCAATGCTCCGTATTCGACGTTGCTGCGAGAGACTTGTTCCTCCCTGAATTGTTGCAATGGATTATTCAGAATAGCAAGGACGTTTCTCATATTTTGGACCAACGCGATGCCTGTACAGGCAAAACTCTCCTTCATTGGGCGGTTCGAGCGGGGGACGAATCAATGATTGATGAAATGATCTGCCAGCGAGCACCAATTAATGCCCAGGATGACGATGGACTTACACCACTTCATGAAGTCACGATGGGCGTTGGCCAAGGTTTGCTTCCCAACGCATTTACCATGGTGAAGCAGCTTCACTTGGGAGGTGCTGATCTGACAATTCAGAATCACCATGGCAAAACACCTCTTCAAAGTGCTCTTGTGGGAAAAGATTATACAGAGTTATCGAGATCAATCCTGGAAGCGATTGTTGACTATCTATCCAGGGCTCCAAAATGGGGTTCTAACCAGCTAGATCAAGACGCTATCCGGGCGGCACACAAACAAGACTTAATAACCGCAGCCATCAGAAGACAAGCGTCATTCTCTATGAACACACCACCAAGCAATGCAGATTTTGAAGATTTTGAAGAAGACGATGAGGAAGAACATACCACCGACGATGAGTGTGGAGGACGGGCTTGAGTCCCGTTTTACTTTGGCAAAATTCCACACAAGTCACACCAACATTCCAGATGGCCGTCTTGGGTGCCAAACCGAAGCCCAAAAACACGTCAAGGCGGCTGGGGTCTCTACGGTGTATACCAGGGAAAGATGTTTAACTCATCTGGTTCTATGATAGTTGATTATTCTTCTAAGGGAAATAAACTAGCCTTTTCAGGAATCTTGATCGACAAATCCGACATTTAGGAGAACTTTGTCACCTGTCTCACGGCATCACAAAGCACGCCTCTTAATAAATGATGTATTTCAAGTAGCCCGATTCTTTGCTGAACTATTTTCACTAGTAATTTGTAACTATCTTGACTATATTTGCGTATGTGCATAACTAACTGCCCGCCAAGTAATAAAATGAAACTGTCCGCGTTTAACCCCTTCTTTCTGCATTAAATGCCATCAAGCCTTTAAAGAAAGAACGTAATACAACTTTAGATATGAAAGGAAGGCATAGATACCTAAGCAAAACATTCAGGCCACTTCAAAAGTCTATGGTGTCAGCCGTAGCTCACTCGGCCTTCGCCTGCATGAGACTGCTCCTCGGCGCGATGTCGTGATTTCCTTACAAAACTCAACAGATATAGTAGATTCAGTAGCTTTACAGTATTTCCCCGGTGTAGATTCTCAATCATTTCCTCCTCGACTTTGCGGCGAGGAAATTATGGCCAGTCATTGCTCACAGATCGCAACCGTTTCTCGTTGGACCTGTGATGCTAGCAGAATTATTATTAGCCAATTTTTTTTTTTTTTTCGTTTTTACAAATCCATTCATGTTTTTCTCCTCCTCCCCTACTCAAAGTGCGGAGTGTTATAGTCGCCGTCAAAATTAGTGGTGTCGAAAACATACAACCCAAATATAGGCATCTCTCCATCAGCGTTTCGCATCGGAACCAGGCCCAGAGGGGCAAATCATGTATCCTTCAAGTCAAATAGCCTCACGCGTTTCACGAGTCGATAAATTCGACGCCTATACCGCCGAATCCGATCTTACACGAGCCCAATCCAGCCCGTGACATTAGGAATCAGGTGTCGAACACTTGAATCACTCACACACCCTTATTCTTCGGATATTCTGCCGCGGTGCCTACTACCGCGCGGAGTGGCGCATGCAGGGGCCCGAAGAGTCTTGTAGTCTTATAAGATGCTTGTTGTTATTGTTGACTAGCTAACCTAGCTGCAAGCTCTATGAAAAGGGGTCCTATCCAGTTGGCTAGCTTCCACACACTGCCCAATTCGTCCACTCGGGCTCGTGACGGAACCTATTAAAGGGCTAGATACAGACTCTGAACCAGGTCGTAACACGCTAGCCCATACTGGCCTCACCTGCGGACGGAATGTTACGTGTCTACAGCTGCGTAGCGAGAACCTTCCTATTATTAGTTAGTTTGGTAATGCATTATAGGCTAGATATTTCGTCCGCGATGTTACTTACCATTCCGCGCCTGATGCTTTGGCCTCCTTCTCTGTCTATAAATAAACGTCTTATTAGAAGTCTGCTTGGTGTAAGATTCTGAAATACTTATAGTAGCTCTTACAAGGTTTTGATGATTCTATTGGCTTATTAGAAAGTACTCTGTTTTTTGTAGTATACTTACTTACCCGGTCAAAATCACAGCGTAGGTGGTATTCCTTATCCTATGTAATAATATTAGCTACTTATAAGCTAAATCCTTACAATATATAAGAGAATCGTACTCCGTAAGCCTGAATAAATCCACAGTTAGTTGCCCAAAATTCGATTGGTCTTCCCGATTTCATAGGTTGGTCCATCTATATAGCTCGTTAATTTACTGCGCTACGAATAGGATTAGTGATAATTGGCATTGCTTACAGAGGGCATTTCTGGACACATGCATGTCTGCGCTAGTACTCCCGAGAGAGTAGCAAAAGTAACAAGAATAGAAGTAGCTGACAGCTTCATGATGATAGTTGGGTACAAATAGTAAGCAAGTATTTTAAGAAGACTTGGAAAGTATAGATTGTTGGTCAAGATATTGCGAGTAGTGTAATACTAATTGCAACTTGTAGGCTACTTGGACATATTTATAAAAGTTCTTATAAAACAAGATATATTAGAAAGCATAGGATTACTAGGATCTTACGCATGCAATTATGGCCCTAGCTCGTTTAGCATCAGCGCATGACCAGGTGAATAACCTGGAATATCATGCTAATGTAGTGCCTGACTAGATACAACCAGAGGTTTCTTCCTTGCCTTGACAAATAAATAGTTTCAGAGTAGGTAGTGGCCATATTATATAGTGGAGACTTGATAAAGTTCAGGGATAATGCATAATTAATTTTACTACTTGCATAGATTTACCAGCTGAAAAACCGGGAATATCATCATGCCAATCAGCATTAAAACCCACTTAATTGAAACATATTGACTCATAGAACTCGCAGCAGCAGAAGCTGGTGCCAGACACCAAAACAGTCACCCCCCGGAACGTCTAAACTAAAATCGCTTTAACCACTGTCTACCGTACTCGGAATCGCATACGTAGCCTCCTAGAAGTCCTCTATTTACGAGCCTTCTTTGCTGCCTTTTCAAACCGCTACGGACTTGGATTCACATCTTTGTCTTGTTAGAGTTCAGCCTCTCTTCAATCTACTAGCTACTTTGTCAATTTGTCAAAGAGTTGGGCGTGTCTCGAATGGTAAAGAGTGTGAAGCTGGATTTAGAGGAGGGGTAAGTGCCTTTTCAAATAAAGGGCCCCCGGTAACTAGCTGAATGACTACCTCTGGATTGAACGGCTAGATTCTTGGTTTCTAGATCGCAGAATATATAGGACTTGGCTCAAAAGCTAGTAATCCTATTAGATGCAGGAGAGAAACTCAAGCTAAGTCATATTACCAAGGCTGTCTCGGACTCTAACATGTAGCGCTTTAGCATGGTAGTGCTTTAATAGTTAAAAACAACATCTTGAGGTCAACTGGAGTGCATGCCTAAGATTCAAACGCATGCCAAAAGGAACAATATTGTGTTTATCGCAATACTCAATAAACTGCCCTGCGTGATGTGAGCCGTGGCCATGAAGAATCAGAAGACGCCTTGCACTTTTCAACGTCTTGATGCTGAAGCCACGTTGGCCAATATGCCCAGCCCTCGCTTTGGCGAAGAACTGTTCTTTGACCGCCCCATCTTTAGCAACCTGCCGACGCTCCCGAGAATACATTGACAGATATTCCTCAAATTAAACACCCAGCTCTCGGGTCAGTGTACTCTGCATAGCGAAACAAGCAACCAATCCCTCTATACAACTCTATTCAACGCTACACCTACTCCATATCCAACAGACGCCATCACCGCCCCAGGAGGGCCTTCATAGTAGAGCCCATGACGCCGGGATGAGGCACCAACACGGCACCCGCGTCCTCCAAAGCCCTCGCCTTCTCGGCGGCCGTCACATCCCCCGGCGTCAAAACAGCACCCGCATGGCCCATGACCTTGCCCCTCGGCGCCGTCTGTCCCGCCACCATGGCCACCACCGGCTTCGGGTTGGGCGTCGACCTCCTATACTCCCTAATCATCTCGGCCGCGCGCAGCTCCTGCTCGCCGCCAATCTCGCCAATCACAACAACGCCCTCCGTCTCCTCGTGCTCAAACAAGACCCGGAGGGCGTCGACAATGGTGGTGCCTAGACCACCGGCGTCAGGGCCAATACAAACAAAACGACAAGGAGCAGACATACCTGGCATGGGGTCGCCGCCCACGGCCACGACAAGACTCTGCCCCAGGCCGGCGGCGGTCGTCGCGCCCACCGCCTCGTAGCTCAGGGTGCCCGACTTGGACACGATGCCCACGCAGCCCCGGGCGTACTGCCGGAAGGGCATGATGCCGACGCGGCACTGGCCCGGGGCGATGACGCCGGGGCAGTTGGGCCCCACGAGGCGCGAGCGGCTCTGCGTGCGAAGCACCTCCTGCACGCGGAGGAGGTCGTGGACGGGGATGTGCTCGGCGACGGACACGACGACGGGCACCTCGGCCTCGATGGCCTCGATGATGGCCCTGGCCGCAAAGGGGGCGGGCACGAAGACGGCGCTGACGTGCGGGTTGACCTGCTCCACGGCCTGTGGCTGGTTAATGAATGCCCTTGTTTGTTCGTGAGTGAGCTGGTGTCCTGGGAGTTACGTACCTCTTTGACGGTTCCAAAGACGGGGAGGTCGAGGTGCGTCTGGCCGCCTTTGCCGGGCGAGACGCCGCCGACGACCTTTGTGCCGTAGCCAATCGTGTCTTTGGCGTTGGAAGTGGCCTGCCGCCGGTCAGCATCTCCCGCGTGTGTAAATACATGGTGGTTCACCCCGTCGGTCGACATGCCGCTTGACCGGTGAAGCCTATGACATATTAGCTTCATGCTCGTATAGGCTTCCTCGAGACTCGCCTTGGTAGATGACGCGCGTGTTGGAATTGATGTGTCGCAAGCTGTCTATCGTGCTATCGTAGTCTGCAAGTCGTCGACGAGATGTGCAAAATGTTCTAGCTATGGCGTGGTGTTTGCCGAGCCGCAACGAGCTTCGTGACAACATGGTGCCGGTGCCAGTCCTCCTGGCGTGCCCTTCTGAGTACTACTGAGGCTGAGAGTTGAGGGCAACAGCAGACGATGGAAATCGGGAGTTGCACGTAGCACCAACCTACGCGCACTGCTGTTAATAAATGCTAAATGCACTTGTACGCGGCCTCCAATCCCACATGGACGTGAACGTTGAAGCCGTCGAGGCGCGGGCCGGCTATACGGCCTCGGCAATAAACAACCCCGCCATCATCGGCCGGCTACTTGGCGGCTGCTCAGCTTCGCTCGCACCAACCCAGATGGAAGCGGCTCACAACCTCGGTGTGTCTTTTCCTGTCGAGCAACGAGTCACCGGTTCAGCGAGCTGCCCGATGCGGCCAGTCACAATGGCCCAATTGGTCCAATTGACGTCCTCAAGCTGCCAGGTGCTGCATCCGCCGCTCTCAATGACAGCTTGGCACATCCACTCACACCAGGCACAAGTGCGACACCATGACATCTGATGAGAATGCATGCTTCTATAAAAAACGCGAAGCACCAGTCATGTTTGGCATATAGATGCAAAGCCCGTCCTCACTCTACTCTTTACTCTAAAAGAAGCGCCAGATGGAATCCGGCCCTTTGGTGCTCTTGAACCGACTATACGCCCTGCACACCGGCCACAACACCAGCATCGTGACGGCATAAAACCCAAAATACCCAAACAAATTATCTACCCCCCTCGTCTTCTCGGGATCCATCGGGTCGGCGACGCCCGTCTCGCGCCCCCATGCCGCCACGACCAGCGTCCCCGCCCCGAACAAAACCACCATGTGCACAATGTAAAAGAACAGCGCGCTCGTTCCGAAATCCAGCAGCATGCCGAAGCGCCTCGCCACCTGCGGCGGAACAGCAGTGAACATCGCGAGAAGAAGCAGGTTCCCCGCCATGGTGAGCGCGAAAAAGCCCACGTCGGGCGGATACTTGACCACGTACAAGAAGGACGCGGCCGAGGCCAGGTACTGGTTCTGGCCGGGACGGCGCTGCTGGTCTGGCGTCTGCAGGCACCGCTCGGACAGGTTGCCCAGATGGAGGACGCGCGTGAGCACCAAGAGGATGGAGAAGCACACGGCCCCAAGGACGTGCCCGAGGACAAGGGCCCGGCGAGTCCACGGGCGTGCCGTCGTGACGCGCGCGTAGAGCATGCCGAGCAGCGCAAACGAGAGCCACGCCAGCGGCGGAAAGCCCGACACCACGCGCGACTGCACGTCCATCATGACCCAGAACCAGACGCGGAGCAATGGGCTCGACGGACTGGAGCGTGTCGAAACGTCCTCTCTGCTGGGGGCGCAGACGCCACCGTCGTCGCTGAGCCAGATGTTCCAGAAGATGGTGACCAGGCTCAACACCGCCAACAAGACGTTGTGAATACTCCACGATAGATGGGCGCACCTCTCCGCAGTCGCCCGTGTATCGTCGCGCGCCCGGAGCAAGGGCCGTGTGACGCCGTCATCATCCGCCGCCAACTCGCCGTCGTCTGTCCAGCCTTTTCCCACTCGTGCCATCGCCAGCGTCAGCCAACCCTCGGTCCTGTCCATGGCCAGCCACAGCAGCCCAGCGAGCAAGTAGTCCACGGCCAGCGAGAACAGCACCCCGTTCAGAAACCACACCCGGCCGCCCGTCATGACGAGCCCAAAGACGGCCGTAACGGCGGTCAGAACCGCGCACCGCACCGCAAAGTAGCGCGCCAGCCGCGCCGCCGACCAGCCCAGCCTCGCGCGCGACCTGCCCAGGTACACGACGCCCATGCCGAGGAGGAACGTGAATCCCGCGCCGCACAGGTGCGTCAGGGTGCGCACCGCGTACGCCGCCGTCGTGTTCCACCGCAGCACCGCTTGCCCGTCTGCCTCGGCGACTCGACCCGTCCCATGCTCCCACGTGTGTAGCGCGAGGGCCGCGTGGTCCAGGGCCATAACCATCATGAGCAGCCCGCGCAGCAGGTCCGGTGCCAGGACGCGGGCGCCGGCCGGTTTCGTCGGCGGTCTTCTGTCTGACGCTCGCGGCGAGGCTGTATTGTATCCCGGGAACGAGTTGTACCCGTGGTCATTTCCGCTGCCGTCTCTCTTTGGGGTTACATTGCAAGGGGTGCGCGATCGATCCGGCGGCTCCCGCGAACCGTCTTGGCCTGCCATGGGAGCTGCGGCACCGCTTAAGTTTATGCAAACTTCCGACGGGGATTAGGGTTGTAGGCGTAGAGAAGTTGACAAACCCATCCGGACAGGGTCGTATATAGACGTAGAGACGCTTTGCACACAAACGATGAGTGTTTCCGTCATTGTTTCTACACGGGACGTCTGCCGCTTTAAGCGTCCTTAGCCCGCGGATGAATGCATTTACTAGTTGCGTGGCGGGAATTCCGCCCAAACTCCGCGAGGTACGGCTTTAACAACCAACCAAACAAGCTGGACATGGAACCACTTGGCGACGCCTCCGCCAGGCTTTGATGCCCGCCAACGTTGGGGTGGCCGGGCTGTCGGGTCGTCGGCAAGAACAACGTGGTTCACGCTTGGTAATCTGTTCAAATCTGACGGGCCCGAAGTCTCCGGCGGGCTTTGATGTCCCGTCCACGGGTGGTTGTGATGCGGCGGAGTTTACCTAGCCTGGGCTGATTGCTTCCATGTTTCTTACCGTCGCAAGCCGTACGTGTGCCGTCCCAGATTCACATGTAGCGTCACATTCTTTCGTTACCACGACGAAGGTGCGTCCAGATATGAACCAGGACACCATACTGAACAATGCATCATGAATAGCCGTGACCATTGCGCATGACTCGCGTCTCCCCTCTTGTACATCGTGTTGCAGCGTGCATCCTGTCCCTCCACGACTTCTTAGCCCTCTCTAACAACTCCTTGGAGCTCAAAACGTCCACCGCCACGCCGGCCAACCCCTTGCCAACCCTCACGGCATTCTCATAGGCATCTCTGGTTCTCGCCGCCTCGGCAAACTCGGGATTGTGTGGCCCTTGCCCTTCCGGGCCGGGTGTTATAAAAAACGCAGGACTCAAGCTGGGCATCGCGTAGCTCACGTCGCCCTGATCCGTGCTCGCCAACGTCGTGCCCCTAGCTTCGTCCAAGTCTGCGTTTTCCAAAATCTTGTGCTCCGGACGCAACGCGTTGAAATACCGCGTGAATGACTGCGCCAGCTCCTCGTTCGGGACGTGGTCTTTGTACGCGCCGCCCCTTGTGAGAACCATTCTCGCACCGGTTGCCGTGGCCCCTGCTTCGAAACAAGCATACACTTTCGCCCTGAGCTCCTCAAGGCGGGCCTGTGAACTGGCCCTCACGGCGAAATGACCACAGGCGTAGGCGGGAATAATATTGGTTGCCACGCCGCCGTGAGCAATGTACCCTTGAATAATGTCCCCGGGCATGTTTTGCTGACGGAGCATCGATACGTTATTGTATGCGGATACGAGTGCGTCTAGGGCGTTGATGCCAAGCCACGGATTGGCAGCGGCATGTGCTTCTCGGCCGTAGTATTCCACTTTGAACCGCTCAATGGCCGTGGTGCGCATGCGCGCAGCGTCAGGCACAATGCCAGGGTGCGATATGAGACTGATGTCGACCCCATGGTCCGAGTATGCGCCCGCCTCCAGGAGACGAATCTTGCCGCCTTCGCCTACATGAGAAATATGTGAGGAGGCATGTCCGGCCTTGTTCACCGAGGGATATGCGTACCTTCTTCTGCGGGAGTTCCAAAGAGAACAATCTTGCCTGGTATTCCCTCGTCCTTGATTACTTGCGCAGCTGCAACTGCGCCGATTACCGAGGCGGTGGCAATTAGGTTGTGCCCGCATGCGTGCCCAATCCCAGGTAGGGAGTCTGAATCTCAGGGTCAGCAAGCCCACGACCAAGATTGAGAGATGAACGTGCCCATTTCTGCATTGAACGACACAACGGCGCCCTTGGTACCGCTGTCAAATACCGCGACCCATGCTGTCTCCAGCCCGTATGCTGAAGGCGTTACTTTCCACCCTGGCTGTCGCCTCATAAACGACGTTAGAGCTTCATGGGCAATGTATTCCTTGTATCCCAGTTCGGGATTGTCATGAATCTTGATGTTGATGGGCCAAAATTCTTTGCCGACTTCAGCAGCAGCTTCACTGATAGCTTTCAGGAGCTTTGGTTCCGCCGCTGGACAAATGCATTGGTCTGCGTTGGTAGAAATGACGACGAACCCGTCAACTTCATGCTCGGCAAAGCTGGCCATGTTGCTCACCGGGGTGGATTTGGCCAACCAGGCTATTCTGTATTCTGTGTGAGATTCTCCGTGGACCATGGGGAGAAAAGTAGTTGGTATCAATGTCTCACCTGGCGGCGCTATCCTCGGACGGATAAATCTCCGCCCAAGTGTGCGTTCATACTTTGCGGCTGATTGATGTGCGAGACAAGAGGGCACCGGACGACGAGTGGCAGGCACATGTATCAGTACCTCGGTACATCGACAAGGTCTGGTACGGAGTAGATGCGCAAGGCTGTCAATTGTCACCATGCAGCCGCTTCCCTGTTGGCTTCAGGCTGAGCCAGCACTTGCATTGCCCCATGGCGTCCGGTCATGCACAGATTGACAGGCTAGCTGCAGTTAGGGCTGCAGCACGATGCAGCCAATATCGGGGTCGTACTCTGTCTGCGACGCCTGGACTCGGCAGTTGAGCGCCATTGTCGTGCAACCGATAATCGATTTCGAGAAGCCGTTCAGCCGTGAATCAAGGCACCGGGTGTGGAACTCAATTAGCGAAACTGCATATCCCCGCCTGCAAAATGCGCACACGTGATGTAGCCAAATCGGTAGTGGTGCATATGGGCGACGACGGCCAGATGGAAGGAGCGGCTGGGGCGACGGCAAGGAAACCAGCAGGCGCCAAAGGGCGTTGTCGACCCTTCGATGTCTGTGCGCCCAGGTCCCTTCAGTGTTGAGCCCCAGCCATCGGCTCCACAGGTCAGCGGCAGATTCAATGTTCCTCGGACGTGCGACCGCCGACCACAAGATCTGGTTCGGCATCCTGAGCCGCTGCTCCTTATCGACCCTCCCCGATTGCATCGAGATTGTGCTGTGGCAGTTGTCGTTAAATGAAGCTGTCTGCTTCGCGCGCCAGCCAGGGCGCCGACGGCCATTGATTCAACCCCGATCTTGACGTCGGCTTGGGGTTACCAGACCACGAGCCAAGGAATTCGCATCCACAGCTTCATCATGGTTCAAAAAGCCATCACGCCTCCGGACAGCTCGTCCAGCGAGTGTCACGGATCGTCGCCCGAGGCAAAAAACGCCGTCAAAGCAGCGGCGCCATCGAGTCGTCGCGGCCATTTCAAGTCGCGATTGGGCTGTTTCAGTTGTAAGCGAAGGAGGGTCAAATGCAACGAGCTTCGCCCAGAATGTTCGCCATGTCGTCGACTGGGCTTGATATGCGAATATCCCGCTCCTCAATCATCGTCTACACCGCGGACAGCGGTCCGACCCAACCCTTCGGCCCTGAATCTTGAAGACCTGCGCTTCTACCACCAATTCCTTACCGCCGGATTTCCAACACTGCCTCTGAGGGGAGGAGAGGTCTGGGCGGAATGCGCTGCCATGTCATACAGCGTAAGTGGTGGCCAACCGTGACACACTTGTTAATTATCAAACAGGCTCTTTCCCTTTTGCTGGTGAATCGCATTCTAATTCTTCCCTGTTAGTCCGAATGCCTTGCACATGCCATCCTCGGACTCGGAGCATCGCATTTGTCAAGGAACTGCAACGTCAACTACGAGGCGCAAGCCTTGCAGCATCGCGTCGCGGCCATCAAATTGGTCAATGAGCAATTAGAAAGGCCGCCCCAAAAGCCAATTGATGCCGACATCCTGTTCGCCACTCTCATCTGCCTCCTCACCCAGTCCTCATTGATGTCAGACAACATGGTCGACTACTTGACCATGACGAGGGGAGGCAACCTCGTTGCCACCACCATCATTCCTGACTTTAATGCGTCTATTTTCAAGAAATTCAGCCCCGAGGGCCACGTCATGTCGTTAGGCGAGATGGTGGAAGAGCAGCCAAAAGACTTGGCCTTGATTGAAGCCTTCAGGGCTTCTGTTTTGGGCATGGAGCCTATTTGCCAAACCAAGAACGAAATAAAATACCTCGAGGCTTTGGTCGCCTGTATAGATGCTCTGAAAACCTCGTCACACTCTGGTAAAGAATTTTCTCCATCCAAGTCTCCCCGGGGATGCTAATACGTGTTTAGCTTGGTTGCATTTTGTGCCCCTCTTCATGATGCCATCGACATTCGACAACCAAGAGTTTCTCGCCTTTGTGAATCCAGAAAACTATACCGGAAAATTGTTGCTCATCCACATGTTTCTGCTTGACTATGTGCTCGGTCGATTTTGTCTTTCACTCAAGGAGGAGCCCAAATGCCCGGGTCGAAAGCTGACCATTCTTTCGTGGACGAGAGGCCTTGCAAAATCGCTCCCGGAACAGTACCGACGCCATATTGAATGGCCACTGCAGTACTGTGAGGAATTGGAGAGCCAAGATTCGCGCTATCTGCTGAGTCCGTGATGCGCCGTGTTCAACCGCAGCGTCAATGCAGCGCCTCGGGAAGCCGCCATATCCAGCTAGACGGGGCTCTTCCTATCGAACCAGTTGGTCGATAGGTCTAGTTGCGAAGGACAAGGGACTTGACTGTGTGATATGCCGAATCCTGCTGTTCATGGGCACGCCTGCCTACTTCCTCAGCAAGCTATCATGGGGGCAACACACGTGGCGACTTTAGCCCTTTGCCAAGAAGCAGCTATAGCAGCCGCAAACACTGCCGATAAGCCTGCCGAGTTTTGCGCTTCCTGATTTGCAAAGCTTGCGAAGTCTGGCCACGGAAGAAAGGGAAAACTCGGAGTTGGTGGGGCTTTGCTTGGTGGTCCCTCAGTAACGCGTGGTCGCAAAGGTTTGACGCGTCAAGATGACGCAACTTTGGTGACCAAGCAGTTTCAGTGTAACAATTAAAAGATCAATATGTCTAGTTATATATTAGTTCAGGGCTGTGGTTGATTATAGCGTGCGTTCCTCGTGTTGACGCCGTTGGTACCAAATTTGTGTTCGTCGTTGGACAGCGCAGACATGACTGCCACGTGCGGCGGGCGCATGATGAGAGGCAACTTTTAGGAAATTAAAGCAAAGCGAGAGGTAGCCATTGTGCGTACAAAACTCGAGTACTACCGATTACAACCCGTAGCAAAATAAAATAGAAGCTCCAAAGTCCTCCAATACACTATTTGCATGGAGCAGCGGCTCCAGGGTTTAAAGCAATCACATACAAAGCCTTACCCTAAAGGCCGTATACCACCCACGTGTTTGTGTTAGAAATATCAATCACGCAGATTAGGTAAGCATCACAGAATATAAGACGTTAATTGGAACATAGTAAATAGGGGAAACACTGATTTATATTAAAACAGACCCGTGGTGCCTGTTGTAATGCTCCTTAAGCACCTCCAACAGCGGCGCCACCATTATAACCTTGTTTAGTGCTGCCGGTTTCAACAACCAATCATCACGTGATTGAAACAGGATTTTCATCCTACACCTGGTCTGGTGGTCTAGTGGTATGATTCTCGCTTAGGGATAACCCTGATGCATAGCTTGCGAGAGGTCCCGGGTTCAATCCCCGGCCAGACCCATTCTTTTTGAACTTTCTCGTTCTGGTCAAATGCTATGCGAACTGGATAGATGGATATTTTTTTCTGTGGAAGCGACGGTGAAGAATGCCTCGGGTACTAAGCCTGGATTGCTTTATAGACTTAAAACTCACAAATATATGTATATATATTTTTTTTAAATTTTTTCATCATGGTACACAGCTATTTCAAGCTTGGTCCATCAGTCTGAGTTCCTGCCTGTGCCACGAGAGTTATATGTAACAAGGGTTAAAAGCTTGCAGCAACATAATTCAATTCATCTATCAACAGCCTTTGGTATTAAAGGTCCTTGATTTTCTTCAAGGCCTAGTTGACCAAAGAAGTTTATTTATACAACAAGTCAGTGATAGACTTTTGCCCTCGGTCCCGTCATCGTATCCCCCCAGTGCCGTGTAGACTCCGTGTGACATTACATGAGTTGACCCCAAATAGCCCCTATCTATTGTCGGTAAAGTTACAACTTTGCCTTTTCACTCACACAAAACTTGAGGGCTTCCCCTTCCGCCTTTCCCTGCTTCTTGCACGTACACTCGGCCATGCTGTAGAAACTAGAGCTGAGCGTTCCTAGCTCAGCCTGGCATTGTGCCGCGAATTCTTCGCACTCGTCTTGCCGGTAGTAGTCAAGGCAAACCTGCACCTTTTCTACACAGTTGAGGAAATTCTCAATCTTCTCACTTGCAGCGAAGCGGGCCGCGCACCGGTGTCCTGCCTTCATACACACCGGCGAGTTGCCAGAGGCGTCGCACTTCTCCTTTAGCAGCTGTGTGTTGTACTCGGCAGAACCCGGCTGCGGCTTGGGTTTCGGCTTGGCAGCTTCCTCCCTTTGCTGCTGTAGTACCTTTTGAAGTTTATCAAGTATAGCTCTCTGCGCATCCTCCTCGACGTGATTGTTGTCGTAGTCTTGACGTGTAAGAAGCTGAGGTGAGGGCTTCTCATGCTCGATATAGATTTGTAGGGCTGAGATCATTGTTCCAGTGCGGCCATGGCCGAAGCCGCACCAGACTAGGGTACCTGACCGATGATTTTTGAATCCTTCATAACCTTTTTGGAAGTCTTCAAGCGTTGGGGTACCAAAATCCACAATAGGTAGTGGCGTGTAGGCGATGCCGACGTTCTGGAGAGCAGTTGTAATATTCTCATTATTTGCCTCGTGATTAAGACTAATTACGTGCGTTATTTCCTGCTGCTGAAGAAATTTGATTGAGTCCGCAGTCAGGTTCTGGTCCGAGTCCTTCCAGACATAATTAGGCGCCGAGGAACGACTAAGCCTATCGCCATCACGGACGTGCTCCGTCACATATTTGAATCGCTGGAACCCGGCATTTGACGCGATTTTTTCTGAGAAAATAAGTTGATGAGCTTCATGAGCAAATTGAATCGAGACATACCTAACTCATTAGCGGATTCACCAGCTGGGAGTGACTGAACCGCAACAGCTGCCCCGAGGAGCGTCACGAGTGACTTGAGAAACATGTTTGAAGTCTTGTTGATGTCAGTGCCTGGAAGAGAAATTGTTCCTATGAGCAGATTGGTTTATAAATTTGTCCATGATGAGATTTCTCACGTTGAATTTATACTGATTCTTTTAACCCAGAGTATTCGCTGATCAAACCATGAGGTATGGAATCAAATTACAGGCTTGGCGGATATCCGCTCCCGCATAATGTATCTAGATAGTTTTATCCTCAAGACGCGCAATTGTCGCTTGGCGTTGGCATAGACACGGAGGACCCGAATCTGAGTCAATGGAATCATTATTCAACGTTTATGCAGAATCGTTCTACTCTCTGCCTTGACCACGTTATTTGGTACTCGCCAAGCTCGTACCATGTCATACAAAAAGAACGCCTCTCTTTGCGGAGCAATAAAGATGGTGCTGGACACCAAAATAGCCACTTTTCCGACTTGCCCAGTTCAACACCCTGTACGCCAACCAGCTCGTCGTCGTTCGACTAGTTGCTATGGAGGCGCGCATTCAGGAAGCCCCTCGACACATTGATGGTTTTCCCGATGCGAAGGTAGCCATAGGTGTCGAATGTTCCGATAGATTAACGTAGCGGCCCCTTAGGGCGAAACCCTCCGATATGGAGCGTAATAAACCGACCACTACTGCTGCCAGGGGAAGTGAGGCTGCTGAACGGAAAATATACATACGTGGATGACGAGTCAGGCTTCAAAGAAACCCCTGGCACGTTTGGGTGTACGCCTCGCAATCATGGCTGCCTTCCTTTCGACCTGTTGTTCCCGTAGCCTTTATTTCTCGCTTCTATGCCTTGCAGAGCCCCCTATAAAACTTTGAAACTTATTTATGGAGGTCACGCGGCAGTATGGGTCAGTACGAGTCAGTACGGGTTATTATGGCCGTGCTTGTTCGTCCTGTGTCTTGTTACGGGCATCGGAGACAATGACACGACGAACTTCATACAAGGACTATGAAATCCGCTTGGTGGGTTCTGTCAATGCTGCCTCAGCTTGTTGACATTTTCCTCTCCACACATGTTATGCGTATTGTCGTTGGCTACACCCCGGTAATATAATGGGGGGACAAAAGTGACGATCCAAAACCCCACATCGTCACGAATCGCGTCAATCTGACATCTGCCTTGATTGTAATTTTCTCCGTCAATACGACCCCTACGGACCCAAGACTTGAATATACTCCTTATGAGCGTACGAGGTTATATGAGGCACTTTATGGGCAATTCGTACAATAGTATCGCAAATGATGAGGGCGTTCCTCAGGGGTCTATATCCGGCATTACTCGAGAGTGTTGAACATGAAACAGCATC